GCTTTGACGTTGTGAACCAATTCGAAAACCTAAATAACAATCTCAATAGATTATCAAAATTTAGCAACCCTTTTACGACAAGATTTTTTACTCTCACCACAGGGCATACAAAACTAAGCATTAAAGGACAAAAATACTTTCCATAAAATTGCTTTTTAGCCATCAATAACAAAACAATCATAGTTTTAACACTTTTGTACCTACAAGACATCTGTACCTACAAGACATATGATACAACAGGATAAACAGTCTTGAGAATGTGCAAACAACTTATTGCTTTTGTCAGCTACTTGATAACACTAGCCGTTTGGTTCAGTCAGCAATGCAGGCAATTCGATAACCTTGAGCATTGTAAAAAAAAAGCAAAAAGTTCTAGCTAGTTTACAGGTCTCAGATTGGTCTGGGCATCAAGGAGTGCTGCAGAATGTATGCAATACCGGTAATGATTTCAATATGTTAAACGGTCGCCCAAGTGTCTTNATACTTTCCATAAAATTGCTTGTTTAGCCATCAATAACAAAACAATCATAGTTTTAACACTTTTGTACCTACAAGACATCTGTACCTACAAGACATATGATACAACAGGATAAACAGTCTTGAGAATGTGCAAACAACTTATTGCTTTTGTCAGCTACTTGATAACACTAGCCGTTTGGTTCAGTCAGCAATGCAGGCAATTCGATAACCTTGAGCATTGTAAAAAAAAAGCAAAAAGTTCTAGCTAGTTTACAGGTCTCAGATTGGTCTGGGCATCAAGGAGTGCTGCAGAATGTATGCAATACCGGTAATGATTTCAATATGTTAAACGGTCGCCCAAGTGTCTTCTTATTGTTTTTACCCGACGACCTTCGATTAGCCAGACTAATCTAAGGATAAGCTATCAGAACATTTAAAAGAGCAGGTTGGCTCTGAAGTAGATCCAGAATGAAATTTGGTACCGTACTGATTTGGCATGCATTCTAAAAGTTGTCGAAATACAGACCGATACGCCAAGAATGAGCAGCCTCTTGTCAGCGGGATAGAAGGTAAGACAAGTAGAAGGGTAAGTGACAAATCTGTTCAGTCTTATAGAATGGAAGCCAAAGTATGTACTTAAGATCCATTTTGTCCAAACATGCAGCCATACTGCTGCTCTTGGCATTTGGCTATGGCTGTGCAGGATTTGATGGACCCTCTTCTACTCAATGTAGCATAGCTCGCGATCGGTGGTTATCATGTGCACCTTTCGCCAAAAATATGACAATACCTCGTTTTCCACTTCGCTTGGGGATTTGTGTGATGTGCAAGGACTTGAATGGAAGTACTAGTGTTGCTACTAGAAACCCTTTTCATGTTGTTAAGCGCTCCTCTCCATCAACGCTGGCAATAAGAGGCTATCGATTTGATGTTCTCTCGGCCGCTAAACTATCACCTCTGGATCATTCTGTGGTTCAACATTTGGCGCTGATAGAAGGTAAAATCACAGATGTAGGAAACAACACCCTGCTGGGGTTTACTGATTTACTGATGCTGTTCTTAGATTTCAACAGGTTAACACACATCAAGCAGACCTGGTTTGCTGACATAATTTCGCTCGATTCGCTGTTTTTGACAAACAACCTGATCAGGCAGATCGAGCCAGGTAGTTTCAAGCACTTAGCTCACCTTAGAATGTTGAACCTTGAAAACAACTTGTTGCACATTTTAGACCCCGCCTGGCTTGTTGGAATGGACACACTGAGGTTCTTGCACTTGGGGTCAAATAAAATCAAAAGAATTGCCCCAAGTCAATTCCACTCCCCGAGTTTGCTGTGTTTGGATCTGCTTGGAAACCATCTATCTGTACTAGACATAGCAGCGTTAAGGGGGCTGACGATACTCTCAATGTTGCATATGAGCAGCGACAGGTTGGTGTCTGTCCATGATGCAACGTCACAAAGAATGGCGTGGAGACTAGATCTTTATACCGACAATACTGGCAATAACATAGAAACCTGGTCAAGGAGCTGGACTCTAGTTGTTGGGGTGCCCAAATATAGCTTCAGTTTTGTGTACAATATGGAGCTGAGAGAGCATTCTGTTGAATGGATTTTTCACTCATCGGGTAATATAAGTTACATCCCAAGATCGAGCATAATCGGGCCTGGTACATGTGGTGTGAAGGATCATTCTTTGAGTAAGACCTCTATTCATTTACCTGTCGTTGTCATTGCTACTGATGTCTCCCCAGCACGCACACAGGAGAGATCGGACATGGTAGATCAGTGCAGGCAGGTGTGGGAACATGACAAGGGCGTTACAGTGGCCATGGGAGATAACTCAGTCATTCAACTGGTTAGCATCGGGGCAACCGCAACAAATGTTGCCATGGCACTTGGCAACAAGCGCATCACACAAACAAATGCTACCCACGACAATACAAAGAACATAAGCTGCATTCTGTTCAAAAATGGTAACTACACGGAGTCGTTCTTTACGACTCCCAGGGTAGAAACTGAACCCCAGGTGTTAGTCACCACCCATAGAATCGATACAAGGAATCAGTCTCCAGCTCCTCCCACTCTGGGCAATTGGCATGGTCTTGTCTCAGTTGTTGTTCCAGCAGTAGTTGTTGTTGTCTTATCAGGCCTTGCATCTGTAGCACTCAAGTTGAGATTGCACAAAGTGCAGTACAACAGAGACACCCGCAGAGCCGCTGCCTCCTCAGCGTTGCGTAGCTCAGCGTTGCGTAGGTCAGCTTCTCTACCTGCCTTAAGATGTACAAAGAAGGAGGTCCAGGAAGATTCAGCTTCTTGTAAGTCATTACCTGCTGTTCTCGTTTCCACTGAGTCTACTTATTGCGTGATCCCAGATAATGTAGCCGCTTCACAGCGACCTCTTCCTCCTTTTCCACCTATCTACTCAGACATTCCAGATGCTGCAGCTGCTGCTCATTTATATCAGTCACACACTTATTGTGACATTCCGGATGATGATGATAAAGAGACTAATTCCCTCTATGCTGCCGGTGCAGACCTATCACTCTGTATTGAAAATACTCCATATGGTAATAGTGAAGAACTTAATCGACCAGTTTCTACATTGCGTCATCATCACCCTGTAGCTCGCAGACACACTGCTGTGTATGGTACAGACATAGAGGCGAGAGACCATCGCATCGTATATACGGGACAGAGGCAAATGCTAACAGGCAGCAAAAAAGGCAGGCACATGGACTGGGTAGGACGCATAACACTCTTCTCCATGCGTCTCTGCCCATCACTCTTCCCAATACATACTGGCCATGGGAGATCCCAGGGGAGGGAACCCGTAACACACCACGGCGTGCGTCACATCCCCTCACACTACCTAACACCTACTGGCCATGGGAGATCCCAGGGGAGGGAACCCGTAACATACCACGGCGTGCGTCACTCCCCACCGTCACAGGACCTAACACCTACTGGCCATGGGAGATCCCAGGGGAGGGAACACCTAACACACCAAGGCCTGCGTGCCTCCCTACCGCCACACTACCCAACACCTACTGGCCATGGGAGATCCCAGGGGGAGAAAAACCGTAACACACCACGGCGTGCGTCCCTTCCCACAACTGTAAAATAGATTTTGACATTCAGTGATCTTCTGGCGATCAAAAACATTCAGCCAAGGTCTGAAAGGGCGACGACAACCCCGTGAAGATTTGGAAAGAGAGTGATTCTCTGCAAAAAAATAGTACAATCGTAATATTTTGCAATGAAACATCAAATTACTTTCCATACAGTTGCTTTCCTAGCCATTGAACAGGTATAACATCAACAATCTTGCAGAAACAATACATATACAGTATACAACGCAGTCATGCACACACAGCCTTGAACACTTGTGCAAACAACTGATTGCTTTCGTCAACTACTTGGTAACATTAGTTTAGGCATTAGGGACATTTTAATTTAATCAACGAAGCAGACATTTTAATCACCTTGGGCACAAGCGCAAATTATAACTAGCGAAAGGCCAGTTTACAAGTCTTATATTAGTCTGGGTATCATCAAGGACATTCTGGTGATGGAAGCTCCTTGATATCATCGAGTGCTGCAGTATGTTTGCAAAACTGGCAATTATTCCCAATGCGTCAAATTGCCGCCAATTGTCCTTGTGTTGTTGATACCTGATGATTCCTCAATTTGATACCCAGACTGATCTAATCAAAGTATGTTTGCAATACCGGTAATCGTATTCACTGCGTCAAATGCCGCCAATTGTCCTTGTGTTCTTCGTACCTGATGATTCCTCAATTTGATACCCAGACTTATCTAATCAAAGTACGTTTGCAATACCTGTAATCGTTTTCACTGCGTCAAATGCCGCCAATTGTCCTTGTGTTCTTCGTACCTGATGATTTTTTTATTTGATACCCTGAAAAATCCAATCAAAGTATGTCTGCAATACCAACAATCGTTTTCACTCCGTCAAATTGCCGCCAAGTGTCCTTTGTACCTGATGATTCTTCGATTTGATACCCAAACTTATCTTAACAGAACATTTAAATGAGCACGTTGCCTCCCCAAAAGATTAAATAATACTTTTGGTACTGATTCGGCTTGCAGTGCAAACTTTTCAAATTACGGACAACCACTCCAAGAAAAGATTTCAAGTGGCCATGGGCAGCCGGTTGTCAACGTTTTAGAATGTGAGGCAAGCGAAAGGGCAAGTGACAATTATTTTCAGTTTTATCATGGAGGTAAAAAATGACATTTTCTACCTCCATGGTTTCATGAACAAAAAGGAATAAGAAGCTTTGAGCTCTAGATACCCTGTGAGACATATATATATACATATATATATATATATATATAAGTCATTCGGTGTGATATAGGTAGCTGCTGCCGCGCCGTATGCCTGCAAAGCTGGTGTGTTACGCCGAAGGGCGGTTATACCGGCTATACCGATACATACACACACACACACACATTTATACCAATGAAAGTGGTAGGAGATGTGAAAAATGGAAAAAAAATCAGAAACAAGTCCAGTCATGTACTTTCTTCCATATAATATATACATGGCATAGCCATCATGATGAGAAACAACAATAGCAGTTTAATACCTGGTGAGAAATGATTTTTTCTATGCATTCACGATACCTGGGACTTTACAACATGGTTAATATCAAGCTCAATATACTTGTAAGTCCTCAGACATTACACTAGCAAGATTTAAATACTATCATAATTGCAGTTTTTGCATCTCCTGACATTGACTTTTCCCTACAACTAAAGTACCGACAATGTGTTGTATTGAATGGAAATCAATTTCGCTTTAAATACACAGCACCTGTCAGGCAGATTGTGTGATTGAGCATTATAGGTCATACTTATACACACTCATCATTTAATACAATTTTCTTGATGCACATCTTTGTAACATATTCTGCATCCATACATCACATCTGTCAAAAATTAGTGCCTGGGTAAAACATAACCTGGGTGCCATCGGATTTACAAATCGGATGGTACTAAGGCTAGGAAAAACAGGCTGTCAGGAAAAAATTGGCCATGATTAGTAGGACTGGGGCCAGTAAAACACCCCAAAGCTAGCCCATGGAAAATGATCACCAGGATAATTTTTTGTCATTCTAACAGTTTTTGCAAGACCATCGTAATCAGTTCTTTTATGACTAAATACATAATTTATGACTAAATACAGCTAGTTTGGCCTGGTTCAGGTCTTCTGAAAAGCAACTCTGGCCTATAATGGCTGTCCTGCTTGATAAGGTTCGAGGATGTGTTTGGAGAAATGCTTCACTTTCTCTATCCCCCGAACCTCATGGTTTAACAGTGGCAGCTTCGTAATGTGGAAGTCCTCATACAAGTCTTCAATCTGTGACAACAAGGAAAGAATCATGTAAGTTCTTAAAAGACTTCAAGTATGAAATGTGCTAAGAAATGGCAGTAAACCGATTTCCTGGTGCAGAATATTTATTGTTTTGCTGCCCTGAAATTGCATTCGATGCCTTTCGCCTCTGCCCTTACTGACAAATTCCAGTGCTGCAAAGGGTTGTAGGTAAGGTCAGAGGTCAAAGGCATCCAAGGTCAGCAGAACGTATTGCAACTGCACGAAACCCATATTGTAGCACTTCGGCAGAACGTCTCACATAAGGTTAACATTGCGTCTGTAGTTTCTAAATGTTATGTAGGAAAACATATCTTCTGCAACAGGCAAAATTCCAATGCAACAATAACCAAACACCCATCGAAATCCGTGAAAAATCAGGGTTTTGCACAGGCACACAAACGTTGGCATGTAAACATGAGGCTCACCTGGTCCAGATATTTACACTGCATTTTGTACCTGGCAGCACACATTCTGCAGGGCTGGTCCTCTTGTGTGGGGAACAGCAGCTGGTTCACCACGATGTTATGGGTATCGATGTTACACTTGGTCAGTTCCTGCACCAATCTCTCAGTCTCGTACAGCGACAAGAATTCCGCGATGCACACACACACAAACGTTGTCTGGTCCTAGAGAATAAATAGAGATATTTAAATTTAAAACTTTTGGTCCACACACAAAAATTTCTCTCACCTAGAGATATTTGGATGAAGTAAAGCAAAATCAATTGATTATCAGACATAAAAAAATCAGCAGAAGTCAAGATGAAAAAAAAAAGACAGAGGAAAATTGGACTTTGAAATGCGTTCAAATCAGTCTATGGATCTTTTGTAAGATCTTTTATTCATCAACTGCTTATCAGTCTGGATATCAGGGACCTTTTGTTTTTAATCTTTTCTTTCAGCACTAATCTCACCACTTCGTAATATGTCTAGATCCTACGCCTTCACAGTGTCCTTGTCGACAAGGCTTTTTGTTAAGCCACAATTTAAGAAGGCCACAGCAAGTAAATTTTATTCATGACACCCACATGCACATTGATTTTTAACTGATGATGAAAAAAGAAATGTTTTTCTTCAGCAAGTCACAAAAATATTGAAAATAAGAATTCAAAACTATTTTGTGTGGTAGTCTTCATTGTACTTGTACATGTAAGAGTCACGAGTGTAGTTGTATCAGTGAAAATACATTTGTAGTTCTGTAGATCGATGTAGAAGTGACGTGTCTAGTGTGATAGCCTTGGCAGATTATGCCTTCTTATAACTGCTTTAATCTGAACTGTTTACTTGTGAGTTTCAGACTTACGGTGATGTAGCACAAAAAAAGTTGAAACCTACACGGTGGTAAAATCTGGGCTGCAAAGTTCCCACATGTCATAGAACCCGAACTGTGTTCGATCGTGTTCGATCTGGGGAATTCGAATCGAACCCGCGTTCTATTTCGGGGTCACCTGCGGTCATTTCACTATAAAGCGGCAAAACAAGCCTTTCTACCTCCGTTCATTGCAACAGATAAAAAACAACACTTTTCTATAGATACAAACAGTTTCCTTGACAGTACATGTCCGCTATTATTTTTGGTGGACATGTAACATGTAGCGAAGCTACTGTCGTATCCTTGAGTGACCTTGAATACTGTAATGATTCTTTACGCCAGTATGAATAACACAATGCACACTTTCTGGCGATATGACATGTCTCCAAAACTCGTTCAAACCTGGAAACATGGAGAGTCAAACATACCCCATTTACGGCTCAAAATGATTGTAACGGTTGTCCCGAAAATCGTGTTTTAGGGATTTTTGAAAAATGGCCTCAATTTTGAATTTTGGGTAATTTAGTGAGAAAAATGTCAAAAAATGCCATTTTTTCACCAATATGTCGACAAAAACTAGACTTAAAATCAGAAATTAAAAAATCCCTAAAACACGATTTTTTGTCTTATTCCTAGTCTGCGAAAAATATAAAAATCGGGGATCTGGGGTAATATACGTAGCCAGGTTTGAACGATGTTTGCCTAAAAACGTGATATGACTTGTGCTCGAAAACCCGAAAATAATCGTCTTTCTGAGCGAAATTTTAAAAAAATCATTGATTTAACATAAAAAGCTAACATTGAAAGGATGTTAAGACGATAATTTCATTTGAATTTGACGAAATTTACCCCTAAATATTATTTGTGTATTTTCAAATATTTTACGGGTAGTCCAAAACAGGCCAAAATAGCGTGTTGTAACCCGATACCTTTTAGAACGCGCATAGCAATGGGAAAGAATGTCGTAGTGACAGACCGCCGTGCTACATGCAGGGTCAGATGTCATATGGGTGGAAACCACACAGGACTATCTAACTCTCATGAGGGCTCAATGAAAATTTACAAAAAATTCCAATAGTTTCCAATAGAAATTGTATACTGTATGGTATGTAGGTCTGTGTGATTACTTCTGTGTGTGTGTGTTGTCAGTTTGTATTTTGTTGTTTGTGTTGATGCATTTGTGTATGTATGATGAGCAGTGCATGTGTTTTCATGTGCTAGTATCAGACCATCAATGAAGTCAAGAATGAGAACTTTATAATTATATCTTATATGGTGAGTGAGTGAGTGAGTCAGTCAGTGAGTGAGTGAGTCAGTGAGTGAGTCAGTCAGTCAACGAGTCAGTCAATGAGTCAGTGAGTGTGTGATTGTTATATGTATTGGCAGAGCCATTCGATGCATTCAGCAGAATATAGAGTATTTTATTGTGTAATGTGTTAAAGTTGGAAGTTTATACTTTTGGGAAATAAGTATAGAATTAGTACTTTATAATCATATCTAATATGGTTGAGTGAGCAGATCAGTGATGGTTACATGTGTTGGCAGATGCATTTCAGCAGAATATAGTACATGTATTTTCCTGTATAATGTGTTAAAGTTGATTGTTTATACTTTTTTTCAGTTGGCTTTAGCAAGCCAAATTTGATTGTGTATATAGTATGCAAGATTTAGAAATAACTAGAAGCAATATAGACATAGCAGTTATAGCCTGAGTTTAATGTTGGATATAATGAGTTGTTGAGGTAGGATCATGAAATGTGGTGGCCATGTTAGGAAGGGGCTGTACAGTTTCAAAAACTTTCAATCTTTGCTAAGGAGTGAAGCAATGAAGTGTGACCTGTGAAAATAGATGGATAGATGTATCTTGACTGTCTATCATAATTAGCAGTGCAGCCAATGATAGAATGGCAATTAGTGCATCAACCAATGAGACAGTGGCTGCATATTTGTCAAATATTTGTAATCTACGTAATGTGATAATAATGTTTTGATGTAGTTATTAGACCAGTCTTTTTCTGCAAAGGAGATAATAATATAACAGAAACACAAAGGAAACAACATCAAATGTAAAGTTTACATTTAAGCTATCATATGGGATAAAAATGTGGGATAGATTGAAAGAATACTTTGGGAATTACACAGGCTATATATATCTGAATGTCAAGAATATGCTGATTGTATACTGATTATATTACTGTATAAATACGACTAGTAAGTTTATGAATGAGGTAAAAAAAAAAAACAGCAACACTTTTGGTGCACAAAAGTGCACGTGATGAGCTAAGTTAAGACTGATGTATAAAAGACTGATATGTAAAGATATACAATATTTGTTGATATTAACATTGCAATACTCCCATATAGTACAGACTGGCCAATGAAAACAGGAAATGAGACAACCTTTCTGGGACCTTTGACCTAAGCATCAGAGTCCCGGACTTGTCTTATAATATATGTAGAAATAACCATAGGAACACAAGCAAACACACAAAGCCTATATACAAGGTTGACCCAGCTTAACCACAGTTTACGGTCACAACTCCCACTGTTTCTAACAGCAGGTTTATAAAATCAGTGCAGCTTGTATGACGTATACGGTATATGGGATGCAGTCTGAATGTAAGAAATGTGCAATTCAACTCAGTTCATTCCCACTTGTCTAACAAACCACTTCAGTTCTCATAAGGGGTTTCAAGACATGACACTTACCGGGACAATATATTTTGCTAGCACACCAAGATATTCCCCAATAGACAGCATTTTCAAGACAAGACAAGTAGCAAAATTGTGGGGTTGTGTGGCGTAACAGCAACCTTGTGCCCTAATTGGAAAGGCACTTTAATTGGAAAGGCACTTAACACGACTTTCCTCACTTCACTCCGGTGAAAATGAGTATGCCAGAATGATCATTATCGTGATTGTGGGCACTAAAGGAAAACCAAACCAAACCAAACCAAAATTTGTCTAAGCTTGCTACAGGTACATGTATTTACTAAATGTCCTCTATAAGTCTATTCCACATTTCTACTCCATATGGCAGCACAAACTGCACATTTGATGTTGTTACCATTGGTGTGGGTGCATGCGTGCGTGTGTTTGTGGTGTTAGCGTGTTTGTGTGTTAGTCTGTGTGTGCGTGTGTTTGTCTGATGCTTACCGGATCCCTGAACTGTTCGTTGACCTGCCGTATGATCGGTAGTGTGTCCTCCAGTCGCGATGACATCTCGTCTGCGTTTATGTCGCCCAATCCCAGCAAGCCTCCGATCTGGTCGCAAACAACACGCATTGCTTTACTGAAGTTTATCTATCTTGTGACTTGTCTAATGTTATAGGAAGCTTGATGATTTTAAAGCCAGTCTCAAGAATCACCGCAATTATGTATTATGGAAGTTTACTTAAGATGTTACGAATGTTTAAGTGTTTATTACTAGTACCACCTTTTATTGTAATATGATGATACCAATATGTTTATGTCTTATTTTAGAAAAAGTTTTGAGTAAGTTTGTATTGTACTTATGGTACTTAATTAGAAGGGTTGCTATAAGTGCAATAAAGTTAGGATACTTTAAATACATTTACTGTACTCATGCGGTGGTTTTCTTTTGCAATATGAGGGAAAAGGAGTTTTTCATGGTATTTCAAGTTCACAGTCAAAACAATTCTGCCGTACAATACAAAATTTACAGTGTCATAATTTCATGTTATCTAAAAGCACTGCAAAAGTAAATGTACATGTATTTACAGTAATTTTCGTCCAGTCTCACCTGATGTATGAATGGTGTAATCTGTGACTTTAACCTGAGGAGCTTGCCCAGACCCTTCTCCACGACCGCGGGAAACGACAGGAGGCGTAACGTGTGGCCCGTCGGCGCCGTGTCAAAAACAACAGCTGAGAAATTCATCCCCTTCACCAATCTGTCGGACAGTTGATAACGGATGTTGACATCGCAACAAATCATTCACAATCAAGATAATTTTGAAAGAACAAATACTGTGTGTATCTAGAAGACTTAGTGATGACATTGTGAGAATTCAACCAGTTATTTGCATAGTCAAAAACTGTGATTTGCAATTTGATGTTATATATGTATCTTTATGTGAAAATGAATAAATGTACAACGTGTGAATTGGAGCTAGTCATGTTTTCATTTACACTGTTTTTGTTGACTCCATGAGTTAAGTTTCATCAGGTTGGTACATGTAAGACACAGATCGTTAAGGTAGTGCTGCTGAGGACACCTAACCTCATGACTTCTGCATAACTCATGGCCTCGTCCACACCCGGAAAGGCTGTCAGCAACTCCTGCATCATGGCCTTCCCTACACCCAGGGCGCCACCTAGTGGGGGGAGGGGGAACTACAGTCAGCGTAGGAGGCCATTTTTTAAATATCTGTTGATATTTCTACTATCAGAATATTTTTGCATGCATACATATATATATATATATATTGCACATATCTTTATAAATGAATACAGATTGAACAAGAAGAACCCCAATTATTTACAAACAGAGCAGTAATATCATCATATTTGAACAAAAAAAATTATGTACCTTCAGCCTGATCCTCAAAAAAGTCATCAGGTAATTCGGACATCCCCAGATTCGGATCAATTTCCTGGAACAGAAAAATACTTTAGACTAGTATCAGACAGATTCAACAATACAATTTGTTCAATAAAGTACACTTATACACTTAAGCCACTCAAAAATCAATTTTCAGAAAGTAAATTACTGAATTCAAACACCTGTGTAAATTCAGATTGCCCAATATAAATGGCTAAACCACTGTACATGTATCTGTATACAGTACCCAGTGTAACTGCCCCTCGGTGTAACACACCAGCTTCAAAGGCAAGCGGTGCGGTGGCAGCTGCCTACATTACACTGAATGAGCTACTAGACCTAGACAGGGATAATGTCCCTACTGTACTTAGTGGCCGGCAGTGAGTTCCACTCTACAATACATGTAGTTCAAGGGAGACCTCTGCTTGGAGATATAGATAATAACATTAGGCAGTAGAACCCACCATTGCAAACAGGTTCTCAAAGCCGTTGACTTTCGTCGGGATTTTGGAGAACTTCTGGTCGAAGGCGTCGGAGATGTTGTGTGCAGGATCCGTGGAGATGATGAGGACACGCTCACGCACCTTTGCCAGTTGGATGGCCAGGCTGCAGCTGTTGGTAAAAGTTAATTTTTTTCTCTCATTTAATATTTATCTATTCGTGACACCAAAAACCAAAACTTACAGCAGGGATGGGACTCCTTATATGCAAAAAGTTTGCGTACACACGGATGAGACAGGGCAGGGGAAATACACATCCCTTTTTAATATACACTATAATACAGGATTACAGGAAACTAAAAATAATTGCTTGCCTAGGATAAATTGGGGGTGATACAAATTATAAAATGCTGTAATATATAATTTTTAACATTAACAAAACAAAAACGGCCACTACAGGCTCTACATGTACATTTACGTTACGCTTTACACCACGAAAATTTATAAATAGGTTCATCCCGGAAGTACTTTATCCCGCGAACGCAGCAGCATGTGTACGTCAAATTCAGACGATTAAACGTTATCATTTCACATTCTCAAACCCTCAGCTGTGGTCATCAACTGTTTCCGTGCTTTCGTTACTTTCAAAAGTTCACAATTTTACAATAAAAACATTTTATGAGCTATGATACTGATTATAGGGACACGTCATCTTCCAGACTGTTTCGGGCCGGTTGTTGAAAAATCGCCCCCCTCCCCCATGACGTTTTGCTACTAAAACCTGCCCTTACCTGCACGTAGTCTTCCCTACACCGCCTTTTCCGCCAACGAATATCCACTTGAGTGACTTTTGCTCCACTACGTTGCGTAGGGAAGGGTCTAAAGCCTCAAAATCATCCAGAACGGCGTCCTGATCCGCGTTGGTGCTGTTGGCGGTCGCCATCTTGTTGTGACTACTAGTATCTACTGCTACACTTCCGTATTGTGTCGGAAGGTGGCGCTAAAGCACGGAGTCATAATGTGTGGGACAACTTGCAAGCAAATGCAGCATACTAGTACTTCAGTCTATTTAATCCCTTCCCATTCCAAAATTGACTATTTCATATCAAGTGACAACCCTTTCCACCGAGTACATATCAGTATCAATCAGTGTTTCTAAATATTGTTATCGAAACCTCCATGTTGTTCCATGTTAATAGACACCATGTCAAATTCTTTTAGGTAACAAATATTCTCAGTGAGATTTTTAATAAAAGAACATTTGGTAAAAGAAGAATAAGATCGAAGTACATTATGGTAAAATTGGTACAAAATCATTGAAAATGCCATACTAATAAAATACTTCAAAATAATACAACAAACTAATGAAGTACTGGCGTCTTGTTATGGTAATACAGTTAGTGTAGCAGAACTTAGGGTTTGGTGAGCTGGACATTGCAATCGAGGACCCTATTTGCATATTCAATGTTAAACACTTATAATTCGTCGTTTGTAAAGGTTAACATCATTTGGCGAAGGTGTGAGATCGTGGAACTGTAGTTATATTTAATTTCATACCATGATGTTGTTTTTATGAATTATTTTCTATCAATACCGCAGATGCACCAAATGAGTGATGGGCAAATGAAGAGTGCGAACTCTTGTAAACCCGGACCCAGGGTACCCTGGTAGCCCCGTGTACTGCCACTCCCTCGTGCCTAGGTCACACCACTGCGTGGAGTTCTGACTCACTAGATACAGTTTGTAGCCGTATTTATCGTCCAACACAGTCAAATCGTCCACGTAACTCCTTTTCGCCAGGGGAGGCCTGAAGAGGTAGCTCCATTTGTCAGTCTCGGTGTTGAAGCACAGAGGGTCGCTCTCAAATTCCCTCAGGAACCCGCAAATAAGGTAGATGTTTTGGCGAAATGACGTCATGTTGAAGACGAATCGAACCTTTGGGATGGGAGAAATCTCATCCCAGCAGGGTGATCCTGGGATGAGTCTGAAAATAATGAAGGAATTGGTAACGTTATTATTCTTAGAAATCGCTGTGTGGCAAAACATCACACATAACCCAACATCTGCTTGGAGAAAATTCTTTTAGCACACACACACACACACACACACACACACACACACACACACACACGCACACACACACACACACACACACACACACACACACACACACACACGACTTTCATAAGGTCCAAACTATTACAATGAAACACCAGTTACCATGGTGACAGACGTCTGGTCCTGGTCATTGACCTTACTTGTTTGGAACAGTAGAAGAAGAAACAGAGCAAAAACAATATGTTGTCCTTCGGTAAACATAAAAATACTTAAGACGATTATTTTTTAACGAAAAACACACAAAAAACTACCTATAGATGACTTCCCCTCCTGGTACAGCGATGTTTGTGTAGACGGCTCCTCGGCAGGCGGTCAGGTTGGCGTTCAGCATGGGCCTCGGCAGTCTGGGGGCGTCGCGCCATCTACCGGTCCTGAAGCTGTACTGCTCCACCGAGCACAGGTCCACCAAATCGTGCTCGTCCGAATTAGTCTGTTCAAAATACAATGATTTTTTAAATTCGAATGTCATTGATATCTAAATGAGCGTCTTCAGCATCTTTGTTTCAATACGGGTGTCATTTGTCATTTTGAAATCAACATTGGAGATCACAAAGTTTTAAATCTTCTTCTAGCTTTTAAACATCTAGGAACTATGTAAAAATGTCGAATAAAATGACTTAATTTGAAATAAAGCCATGTGAGCCACGTTATAGTGCTGAGCCAAAAGCTATCTTTTGTGATTTTCTAAGTTATGTATTAATCAATTGTTAAGAATCATATCATCATCCGATGACGTAAGCTCATTAGAAAGGGGGATAGTGTACCTTTTTGTGGATTGTACAACCGCCAACAGCATACAGTACATTGGCAGCATCTATGCCAGCCAATCCGCAGTGGGCTCTCAGAACGCGCGGGTGCGGGAACGGCGCCCAGGTGTTGTACAGCGGGTCGTAACAGAACGCTTCTTTCTGAAGTTCCCTCTGATCGGACGAGGTGAATCCGCCCAGGATGAATAGGAGGTTGTGGACGATGGCGACGGAGCAGCCGTGGGTGCAGAGAGAAGGCGGGAAGGGGCAGATCGGGCCCCACTTCTGCTCGAAGTGGTCGAAGACGTAGAGAGACCGCGGCGTCTCCAGGTTGTCCAACCGGGCGTCGTTGTAGGATCCCACCGCGCAGATGAACTCCTGGGGCTCGTACCTATTTTTTTTTTATTCCGAAAAACAGTGATGAATAAAAATGAAAAGACACTGATAAAGTGGCTACGAACTCAAGTTAGGCACAACTTATATTCTAGCAGCCACTTTTACAATGACATCAATTTACTGCTTTTGTATTTTCATCTTCTGTACATTGCAGATATGTGCCTCAGTGAGCAGTGGATCACATGTAGCAGATGAATAGGGACGGAGGACGCCACAAACTATCTGCTACATTTATAATCAACAGCTCATAAAGACGGGTGCTTAACTGCTTGTAATTACTAAGTACATAATCCACTTTACCTCAGTGCCACCAGTTGATCCCTCTCGTGCTCCGTCAGTCCGTTGTACTCTATGGACTGTAGTAGAGCCAGGTAGTTCTTCCTCATGAACATGTATGCAGCTTTCTCCAGATCCGCTAGGTAGTGCTTTTCGGCCACGCGGAGACATCTCACGCATGTCTCTATCTTCATGGCCCGCCGCATGTAGTTCATGACCCCGTCCATTTGAAGAAATACTGCTGTTTCTAAGATCTCTTCTGGGCCAACCTAATGTAGGAAAGCAAACAGAGAGGTAACAATTGCGAAGGAAATACAGTACGTACTGTTTACTTTAACACGAGAACGGTCTAGCCTGAAAAAAAAACTACTGAACTTACTCACTCACTCACTCACTCACTCACTCACACACACACACACACACACACACACACACACACACACACACACACACACACACACACACACACGCACGCGCACACACACACACATTTATATATATGGTGAACAGCCCATCGAGCTTGCTACATGACTTAAATATCGAAAAACGATATACAAACCTTGTCAAATCGCATCCGTCTTGTACCGAAGAAGTCTAAGATGGTCTTGAAGGCTTCAGGCGACACGCCGTGCAGCTCGACTCTGTTTTCACAACTTTCCCTCATCCCAGACGACATCATCGCAGAGAAGTAGCCGCTGTGACGTAATAAATGTTATGCAGATAGCACAGGTGACTCGGTAAACAGTGGATCATAGATTGCAGAAAGTCTGTAGTGCCCCCCGTCGTTATTGAGGGACCGTTGCAATTTACCACGATGTATATTGCTATTCTTTCTTTCTTTTTCTTTATTTCAGGCATAGCATTGGAAATTACAGTTTAAACTTGTATCATAAAGGCGTGTGCCAACAAAGAACTTTCAAGATGCATATAGTTTAGTACACATTTTACTGGCAGGTTTTGGAGCATAGTTAAAAATGGAGGTAAAATAGCTTGACAGTTCACCTCTCTCTTGTCAGCGTTGCCTTTCTGGCGCACAACTCTTCTTCTCCAATCACGACAAGGAGGACTTCCTCTACGTCACAGTTTCCCGTCAGCCCCTGCGTTTCGTTCTTTTCGTGGGCCATTTTGTCGGCGTCAAATCAGTCTGAATGAAAATTTTAAACAAATAAAAACGAGTCTTTGAATTAGTCAGTTCAGGAGAATACTAGTGTGTACTTCAGCAGACTCCAAGTGCAATGCACTGGGCGAAAACGGGGCGAAAAAAAGCAAGATTCCTACATGTTCTTATTTTGATATCATAAACCTTGTCAACAAGAATTGACCAACAGGTCTTCTACCCCTGTATTCAACAGTATTACTGGTACCTGTAGATATGTATACAGCATTTCAATTTTAGAGCGATTGTAGTACCTGCATGGGCATACAGCTACTACACCGGGTATTCATATGCGACGGAACATCTGACAACACTCGCCATCAAACGCGAGCAATTGTACATCGCGTTCTTGGATACACCCAGACTATTCAAAATCGTGCCTGATCCTAACCCTAATCCATTCAGGCATAGAACCGGATAAACACGGTTCTAGATTCGTTTACGTACCTGTGCTACAAGTTTAGGGGAGGGGGAGGGGCGCCCGTCCGGCTGCGCAGTACATGGAAATGCATTTTTGTACAAACCGCAACCCCGAGCCAGGTCATGCTGGATAGAGGCCTCAAGGGGGGCTTACAGATCAGATCACATACGATAAAAAAATAAACAATAATCTATGTATAATCATATATATTGTCACACTTAAGGCATTATGTATATTGTTTGATTTTCATTACCTCTTGAATGTTATAACAGAAGAGGCGTTTTTTGTGATAGCCTATTGCTACATGTTTGAAACGAATTATGTAGAGGTCTTTATTTAGCATCAGCTGCAATTCGATATCACTTCGTGATCGATGCTGACACGAGGGTTGCATTCGAAATTATTTCGCAAGGAGGCGCTTGGACACACAGGCTTACTGTTGTGCTTTAGTGCTTGGATTGGTCATTTTATAGAACCGGGTTGTGTTGTATTCACTTTCATATTTATTGTTCCTAATTATTATCCTCTTGATTAAGTCAAAGAAAATCTTATATCCCGTGGTAGGTTAGGGAAAATAGTAGTACGGCACAATACTTCAGAAAACTGTAGAGATTCTTTCGTACATGACAGTGAAGACTGTGCTGAATTCTGCAGGAATGTATTTAGGTTTGAGGCCGTATAATTTGAATTCGAATTAGGATGTTTGTTCGGCCGGGCCGGGTCGATTGGCCGGTTACCGCCTGGTACTGTGCGTCGACTGCAGTTCACATGACCCCCGCATATCGCCATATAAAAGAAGTCTTTTAAGGAAACGAGCCGGCAAACTTGAGCTGATTTTCACATATTTTGTATATTGTACCGTAAGACCAGACATTTTTATAGACAATTGAGACAATTGAGTCCAGACAATTTTAAAGCGTCGAACCTTCTCACATGCTCCTTCTGTATAAATGCCCATAGGGAGAAAACTGTTTTCTGCTACATTGGGCAAAATGCTGCTCCTCCGGTCTAACTGTAGTCAGAACTCCAGTATGATACCGTCGGTTGAAAGTCCAAGGTGACTCAGGTCAGGAGGTGGTGACAGCGTGGTGACCTGAGCCGGACACTGTAAGACGGTAAGTGTAACAACTGACGCCGGAGACTACTCTTCACTTGTTGCTAAATTGTATCTCGGCCTACATAAAGGTCCCGTTCCACTCTGTGCAGAGCATAGGAGTGGCGCCCATCTCAATTTCTGTAGCCCTTCTGCCACACAATTTTGCAAGCACTATGACAGGGGCCTGTTAGGGGCTAGCCCGCTGGTAGTCTTGTGTTTGACCTTCCCATACTATTTTTCCTCATAGATGCTGAGTGTTAAGCAGAGAAAGCAGCATGTACCATTTTAAAAGTTCTTGGTAGGACCCGGCCGGGGTTTGAACTCACGACATCGATATCCCGGTTACAAAGCGAGCACTCTACAAATGTACCTGATTGAGCTATTGCACAGTATATCTCGGCTCTCGTTGTGTGTGTGTGTGTGTGTGTGTGTGTGTGTGTGTGTGTGTGTGTGTGTGTGTGTGTGTGTGTGTGTGTGTGTGTGTGTGTGTAGTGTGTGTGTGTGTGTGGTGGGGGGGGGGGTTGGGTGGGTTTGTGGGTGCGTGCGTTTTTGAAATAGTATACTCTTTTATCTGAACACAGTGCGTGTGTTTTAGTGTACCCTTTTATCTGAACACAGAAAATGGATACGACAAAGCCCGAGTTCTATTCTAAGAACCGCTCCTTTCAGCACGACCTTGGAGTTGAGGTTCTCCAGTACCACATGAGGTGGGAGGAAGGCGACACAGTTCTGGACGCGGGATGTGGAACGGGAGAAATCTGCAAGTACATCTCCCAACAGCCAGGGGTCGCTTCTGTGGTGGGCGTTGATGTGTCACCTGACTTTGTTAGGTATAACCTGATTTCGAAATTCACAAATGATATATAACACAATGGCCGAAAACCCACCTGAAGTTGTAGGTATTGTTTTTTTTGTCTGTATATGTGTGTGTATGTGTGTGTACATGTGTGTGTGTGTGTGTGCGCGCGCGTGTGCGTGCCTGTGTGTGTTTCCGCATACTTGTGGTCAGCATAACTTAAGAATGCCTTTATGGATTGTGATGAATTTGCTACGTTGGTAGGTCTTAGGAAGACAAAGGTCAAGGTCAAATTCGTTTTTTGGGATTTCCAGTGAGACGTTATAGACATAAAGGTAACAATTTACCACGGGTTGAACAGTTTTTTAAATTTATTTCTACACAGGTATGCCAGTCAGCACAACTCCTCACCAGACGTGCTCTACCAGGTGTCTGATATCACTGATGCGTCAACAATTAAGCCTGAGTTGCGAGGTGCCTTCAGTAAAGTAGTTTCTCTCCAAGTGCTACACTGGGTGCAAGACAAGGTTACTGCGCTAAAAGTGTTGCATTCTTGCCTAAAGCCTGGGGGAGAAATGTTATTGTGGTTCAATACTAATGCGAGCAAATTCTGCCGAATCCTCCTGGGTATGGCCTCCCACCCCAAGTGGCAAATCTACTTGACAGATTTCGAGCTGAATGTGTTTCCGTGGCCTTCTAGCGATATCGTAAAGGATCGCCACAGCAGCCTCCTTTTGGAGGAGTGCGGTTTCGAAGTCCTTTCTTGTGATCTAAAAGAACATCTGCACCCTTTTAATTCTAAGAAACAATTTAGGAATGCTGTGGGTGCCTGTTTGGGCCATCTTTGCTACATCCCACAAGACAAACACGAGGAATTCTTGAACGACGTAGAAAAGATGACGAGAGATATCAACTTTGTTTCAGACAATTACAAAGTAACCAATGAGTGTCAGGTTGTCTACGCTCGAAAGTTGTAGGTTAACAGTGGCGTTTCCGAGAAATAGGGTGAAGGACCAAACAATTAGTAAGTGTTGTAGTTGAAACAGTACTTATATTTTTCAGTCCTGTCATAGCGGACTGAGAGGTTTCTGGGTTCGAACCCTTGGTAGGGCCTAATGCTGTGCCTTGGATGAATGTTTCAGCACTAGAAATTATTTAATGTGAACTCGTATGTCACTTTCACCATGATATCTAATGATGAAGATACATGAATAAAGCTTCATTCTTTCATTCATTCATTCATTCGTTCAATCATTTCATGATCATAGAGGCTAGACAAAGAAGTGCTGTTTTTACTAGTAAAATGTCTGCTATAAGTGTGATCTAGTCAGGCAAGGGACCAGGGCATGTGAACTGCTTTGAAGCCATTGAAACGCCTACACCCGTTGGTGCACTATTAGCATTAATGATTCCAAGTGGGAGATTTGACATTCGGCATTCGGGAGATTTCTACCTGTGTGGGTAGTACCTAGTGTGCACTTACGTAAAGATGACGCACGTAAATACACAAATAGCTCCCCTCATTAAGGAATAGGGGTCAGCACCAAGACAGCTTACCCGAAGACTTAATTGGCCTGTTGTGGGCGTATGGATGATACATAGTGTGTATGTGTTTGCGTACGAATGGCGTATAGCCACAAATTGCTCCATTCATGAAGGAATAAGGATCAACACCAAGGACAGGTCTGCTTGAAGACTTGATTCGTTGTGGGTGTGTGGATAAGTAACTTAGTCTTTCGTGACGTAAACCACAAATTGCTCCTTTCACGAAGGTATAGCGATCAGCACCAAGGACAGATCTGAAGGAAGACTTGATTGATTCGTTAAGTGTGTGTGTGTGTTCACCAAAAGATGACGTCAAGGCACAAATAACTCTGTTCACGAAGGAATAGTGATCAGCACCAAGGACATCTCTGCCGGAAGTCTTAATTGATCAGTTGTGGGTGTGTGGATGGTACCTAGTGTGTGTGTGTGTGTGTGTGAATACGACGTAAAGCCAAGATAGCTCTGTTCATGAAGGAATAATTATCAGCACCAAGGACAGGTCTGCTGAGAGACTTCATTCGTCGTGCATGTGTGTGTATGTGTGTGGATTGTACTTAGCGTGTTTGTGTTGATGTGAAGATGACGTAAAGAAACAAATCGCTCTGTTCATGAAGGAATAATGATCAGCACCAAGGACAGGTCTGCTCAGAGATTTGTTTCCATGCAGCCGCTGGCCGGAATCTGTTTTCCAGGCACATAGTAGAAGTGATGGGCCTGTCAAACGCTGGAGAAATGGGTCCTTAAATATCTTACGCCGAAGGGCGACTATACTTCTCAAATACAGATGAACAAACCCTGCAGTTTAATTTTCTTTTGCCAGGGGGCACTCTAGTACCGCGCATAGATACTGCAGCTTACGTATACAACCGTCCGTTCTAAAGCTGCATGGGCGGCGTCAAGCACATTTAATTTATCCTTCAGGTATTTTGTGCGCTTCAAGTACCAAACGTTACATCACACTTATATACATCAAAAGCAGGCTTTTAATAGAGGTAAAGTGAGTAAATTGCATCCTAAAACAGCCATTGAGGCAATAACAAAAACGTTGGATTGCCTCAACGTTCAATTAGGGCATTGACGTAACTGCAATATTCTCAAATGTACAAAACATACATCTCAAATTCCCGTTTGGGATATTACATAAACATTGTTATCGTTTCTAAATGACATTTTTCTCAAATTAATTCGGAGATTATTATTTATTGCATGTGCATATAGCTTTATCTATATTTGCATTTGTCTCATCGCTACAAAATCAAATACTAGTTCGTCGCGCTCCTAACAACGAAAGGAAAACAAAGACAGGTATTTCTATTATGCGAGAGGTTGTATTTATGAAACCATCCCTGCGTGGTTGACATATGCTTTTTTTTTCTCAGATATGAAAGAGATGTATAATAGAATGGATACCCTTAAGGTTTATACAAGGTTTAGACAGGTTATCGTGCCAGCGGTTTTATACTTCAGAAACTTACATGTAGGTCCGTGCATGAAACTGTACATGGATAGATATCGCTTCTGATCTAGGCCCCCCTAGCAGCTTTCTTTGCTACTGCATCGGTACTTTTTTTCTTTGTTCTAGATATAAAAGTGACAGCGAGGTTGTGTGTTGGTAGGACCGTCCCAAAGAGGGTCAAGGTGGCTGAAAAAGGGAGAAAGATGAGCCAGAGAGTTAGTAGTGTCCGTTTAAAAATGTTACGTTTGTGTGCATGTCTGGAATACAGAATATCAGGTACAGCAAACTTCTCACGGTTTCAAGTATACATACACACGCAAACGTTTACAGAATATTTTATGCAAACATCTGTCCGCAATCAAACATAAAACGAACTCAAACATAGCTTTTAAAAACTTATTTTGGGCTTTAATTGGTGGACTTGAAACGACACCGAAATTCGGTAACGTACTTTCCCCATTCTAAGTATTTTTGTCCGGTCATACACCAAGACATTACAATAATGAACAATCCCCCGTTCACTGCACCATGCATGCAAGAACGCAACACGTAATCTCCAAGCAGATCGTTTGGTGGCTGCAAGACAGTGTCAAATTGGCAAGACTTCAAATGGGCAAGACAGTCTTAAAGTCAGTATCCATTTGCCAGCCGAACTTGGCTGGGGTAAAATGATACCAATACAAAAGCAATCTCTATAAAATGCCTAATAAAACACTAAAAAATAAACCGAAGTCTAAATTTCTGCTTGGAGAGAACCCACAACAAGAAGTTAACTAGAAAGGTAACATTTGCAAAGCAAAAGCGTAATGTTTACCTTCGCATATGGTCTGCTCTGTTAATTCTTACTCAAACACATTCATACAGATGTCTAAATCCCTCTTGCTATGGAATTGCAATATGATGTAACCCAACGCCAGTTACCTTGGTGATAGACTGTCTGGTTCAGGTCATTGACCTTTTTTGCTTGGAGAAGAGGAAACAGCAGAAACAATATGTTTTCCTTCGGTAAACATGAAAACAGGATTTTTCTCTAGGTGTTGAGGTCTAGATCTTGCCTACGATTGTACGATCTACAGTAAAGTCGAAAATTTTTTGTTGGAACGGGCGAAAATTCATGCGTGCGTGGATGTCATCCATATAATCAAATCGACATGGCCTTACTGTAATCTATTGATAAAGCCAGTAACACTGCGTGGGGTGCATAGACGTCGGTTCATATCCGCTCTATCCGCATCGGCACCACGCTTGGCAGGGTAATAAACCTAATAGATACATGCTAGCTATTGACAAAACTGACTGCGTCATGTTGACGTCAGCGCTTATGCAACGTCAACATATGGTGCCACAAAACGAAGTAAGACAAGGGATGCGGCTTACGTTAATTAGATAGATCGTATGTACCATAAGCATCTACTCTCGCTGCTGTCTAACTCCATAACCAATACAAATTTGGTGCCAAACGGTTATATTAGCTAGCTGACGTTTGATAAAGGCATCCAATACAATTCAGGGTGGTAAAACAAAAGATATTATTAATGAGGAAATCTGTCTGATATTGGAACTTACTGCTATTTCATAGCACATTTCGTCATAATTTCATATATGTGGACTAGAAAGTTTGAAATAGCCCACAATCAACCTTCGAAAGGAGTCCCTATATTTGGTACCGCCAATAAGTAAAAAGGCACTCGATGCTAAAAATTTTCTATCTATTTTACCTGTATATACATGTAAAGATTATCAAAATGTTATAATGATAAAAATCTTATATGATTATTGCTTATCAATATCATTATAGCAAGATGCTAACATTCATTTGGTACTGTTTGAGAAAGGCAAAGTTTTTTTCTTTCAATGTAGATAAACAAAGAACTCAGCTTATATTTGATGTCGTTCCCTAATATAGACCGGAAAAACGTCATTTACGTTGTTGAGATCTCACATCAAAGTTTAATAGCTTTTTAAACGTGCTTCTTTTACATTTGATACCCCGGTCACACAAAGAAGTATTTGTGTACGACACTGTATTACGTCATGTATACAGTTCCGGTCACTGGCTTTTTATAGCGTAGTCTTACACGTGCTATCTTTCTTTAAAATCAATGGTCTGGGGGCAAAGGAATTGTTTTGATATGATAAATGATTTATTAAGTAATGATGTCATAATCTCAAAAGAGACGTCTCAAAAAATTAATACACTCAAGAGGCGTGAACTTTTATTGGAAGAAATATGCGTTTTTATCGATTCTTTTATCGAT